TTTATTAACAAAACAGAAAGTTTGAGTAAAAGTGGTCTTCTAAAAGAATTGAAATTCTAATAAAACAAAGGAAGGCTTTATTAGATGGAAATAGATATATTGTAAGAATAACCCTTCTGCCCTATCCTGTGACTTCAATGCAGAGAAGCAGCATGTCCTATTGGACACAGGGCAGCTATATACTTTAACCTCCTATTCCACTTTGGTTTCTGTTGCTGTGATAAAACACTCCGACCAAAAACAACATGGGAGAAAAGAGGACATTTCATCTTACACTTCCAGGTCATATGTTATCATTGCAGAAAGTCAGGAGAGGAACTCAAGGCAGAAGCTTCAAGCAGAAACCACAAAGGAACACTGCTTACTAGCTTGTTCAAATATGTTTTTTTTAAATACTGTCCAGGCCAATGTGCCTGGGGATGGCACTCCCTACAGGCCAATCTGACCTGGGCAATTCATTATATATGGTTCCCTCTTCCCAGGGGATTGTGGATTGTGATAAGTTGATAGCTGAAGCTAACTATGATACATCATATGCCATGGTTGTAATACTGCAATGATTTCATTTTCTGCATTAATGAAAGACTAAATTATAAGGCCCCAAATTTGATCCCCAATATCAAATGGAAGAGGGGGGAAAGAGAGAGAAGATTTGATACCATCTGACCATCTGATTATTTCATATAAATCTAAATTACTTTAACATTTTTAAAGAAAGGTCATGTATACTGTCTTTGTGTCTACTAACACAGAACAAGATATAAATATCAAAACACAAACACAGATGGAAATCATTGGTATTATTTTTTTAGTCAAAGTTATTACACAGTACAGATTATGTAGCACTCCACATTAAAATGCAAACTTTATTTAAAAAATATTTTTGCATTAATAATATCTACTAAACAGAGAAATCTATATTGCAAATGATTATTCTCACAAATTTGAAGAGATTTGAGGCAGAACAATCATTTTCTGGCTCTTAAAAATTCTTTGATTATTCATGTTAATTGAATGCATAAATCTAAAGGTACATCATTGAAGAGAATGAGATATTTCAAAGAATGATGACTTACCATTTAAAAATTAATATGATGCATGGAAATTACATATCACAGTGATGCCCGCAAAGGAAAAATGTTCCCAGGAAGAACACAATCTCCAATGGCAGGCAGATTCATATTGTAGCTTTCTACATCTCCCATGGACTCATAATTTATTCAGGTTGATAGTCTGAGAGAGCAACAGGTTTCTGTCATTATGAACAATAACAACGAAGTGTCTATAAATCACCACATTTCACCATGTGCTGCACAAATACTTTATCTTGTATACAGAAGCCACTGCCCAGTGTGTATTGTATCAGCTTTCTGGCTCTTTCTAAGGCTTGGTAAGAGTTTGCTAAACATGGCTTGTTTTGTGTTGTGAATGGATGTCAACACAGACATGTTGAATAGAGCATCTTTCAGGGGGAATAAAGCTTGCCTAACATAAATAAATGAGATGGTGAAAGGCTTTCTGGTCCTGTTGCCTGTGTGTCCAGGTGTTTCTCTCTATGCAGTAGAAGTATTAAGTGTGTAATTCTTGGCACATTAACCATTGTAACATCTTTGGGGAAATGAAGGTTTCTAGACTATCTTTGTTTGTATTATATGAACTTTGCACATTGACTATGCTAGATCCCCAGTTAGCAGCTATTAAAGAGATGAATGAATAATACCAAGTCAGAAGAACATGTCTACAAATATCCTCTGTGTAGACATCAAATATGAAGCACTTGAAGCACATATATGACTTCTCTGAATATAAAGATTAAATTAAATGATAAAGAACGTACAAGTTACTATATAATACGTGTATTTCTCCTTCCAGACTACTATAGAACAATTTTCAGTGCAGTTATTAGGGAGAATTGTGAACTGGTCTATTGTTCTGGCTGATATTTTTGAGGGGACAGGGTGCTTGAACTCTAGGCCTTTCATGGCATAAATACATCTTCTACCACTAAGTTCTACCCTTAGTCTTAGAGGACTCAGTGACAGAGACTACTATTCACACATATAGATCTACCTTACCAGAATGGCAATGCCATGGACTGTGTATTCAAATACATTAGATTACTGCCACCCCTTGTGCTTGAATCCAGATGGGGTAGAGTTTCAGTGAGAAGAAAGAATCCCAGCAAACTGATTTTGCTACTCAAACCTGGAATGTTATCACTGCTCAAGACAGTTGATCAAACTATTAGTTGAAAGCCAAGCATTAGAACAAAAAGATAATTAATATTCACTAAATGTTTAATGAGTTCCTGTGACTATGATAAACTCTTTGCATATTTAATATCTCATTTAAACTTCATGATGGTTCTACAAAGTACACACTAGTATTGTTATTATTTATGGACATGAAGACTGAGTCACAGAAGTGTTGACTGGCTCAAGGCCACAGTGTTAATCTTTGAAAAAGCTGACATTCAAATTCAAACACTCTGATTTTATTATTCTGTTAGCCAAATCTCTCTGCATGATAAACTTAGGCTGGAAAATTGGTACATTTCTGAGAGAGTTGCCAAGGTGCACTGAAGAACAAGACGTCCTCCAAATAACATCGGTGTAAACCATGAGTGTCATTACTACACATCAAGCTTTGAAACTAATGGAACACCATTTGAGAAGAATAATTATCACACACCTATATTATCTTGTTTTGTAATTAAAAATCGCAAGCATTGTCTGTTATGAGCCATTATTCATGATGAGTTTTGCTAGCTCAGGTAAAGATATTTACCTTGATTGTCTAAACAGGGTGACAAGAGACTCACTTAATTAAACTTATTATAAACTATGCAAATTTTTTTCTCCCCTGGAAATAAATTTAACATACCACCTATAAATTCCTAGCTCCTTGGAGCTGTAAGGAGTTTGAGAAGTATGTGAAAAGTTTTATTGAGTACAAAACAACTTTCCAAACCTGAATAGGCTGCCAAGTCTTTATTACTCTATAATAAAATTTCCCAACAATTGCACTAAGTCAATTTCAACCAAATCCCTGGTCCCACATCCAAAATACCTTCTTCCTAGAACTCATCAATACTGCACAGGCATCACTCTAGATATTGCCAGTTGTACATACTGTATGAACTCAATTTGGGTGCCTGGTTAACTGATTGAAAATAAAAAGTTAATGGGACTGAGAAGATGGCTTAGTTAATTGCCCAAGTATGCACAACTGAGCTCTGATTCCCTACACTCACATAACTGCAGGTGTGGTGAAATGCATCTGTGACCATAGTGCTGTCAGGGTGTAGGCAGGTGCTTCCCAGAGGCTCATGGCCAACTAGGCTATCTGAAATGGTGAGTTCTGTGTTCAGTAGGAAGCCCTGTCTCAAAAAGTAAAGCAGAAAGTAATAGATAAAGATACCCACATTGACACCTTGTGTCCATTTATGCATGTATGTGCAAATACACCTGTACATCCAGGCATGAAACACACACACACACAGAGAAGGGAAGGCAGAGAGAGAGAGACAGAGGAGGGGGGAGAACAGTTAAGATCAGTGATGCATTATATTGTATTTCGCAATGAGAGATGAGTAGAGCTGCTACCATCATTTTTGAGAAACTGAATGTGCAGTCAGTTTTAAGATGCATGACCTTCATGTTAATGACCAACAGGTGACCCTGATGAAACACTGAAGGAAAACAATCCTTAGATAGCTCCCAATCTGTAGAGTGCAGAGAGAAGGTTGGATTTCCTCTAGCAGAATGTAGAAACTTTGAAAGATGAGGAGTATTGATATTTGTTTTGATTTGGAAAAGTAATTCCCTATCCTTGCTACCCTGATTTAGCTCCTTGACAGCCTTTTAAAATCAATTCATAATGTCAAAAAGGAAGAGAAATTATAGTAAATCCCAGTAAAAATAGAAACCAAAAGTCACAAAATAGAAATTAATGAGCTTTTAAGCAGAAGATAAATGGCTAGAAGCAGAAGGCTGAAAGGTTACATTCTTGTAGGGTGAAGCCTAAAGGCTAAAACCCATGAGATGTAGCATTTAACATAATCATGCAAATTTGATCAAGAATTGAGCACAAAAGCCCTTAAAGACTAAAGCTGGGCATTAAGAAAAGAAAACAAAGAGAAATACTTTTTAAATGAAAACTGAAGAAAACTCAGAGCCTAGTGAAACAAAAGAAAAGCAAAGGGAGGAATGGAGGAGCCATGAGAAGCAAACCCAGGGGAGGAGTGAGATTTCCGAGATCTTCAGTGACTGCATCCAGAGGAAGTGGGGATGCCAAGTCATTCATATTTGTACTTATTACCTAGAGCATTGAATCCCACCCAGAACACAAATAGGATAGTAGCACCATACTGCATGCAATAACATGGGAAATAAGAATCTCAGGGTCTACAAAATCCTCTACATCTTAACCACCAGAAGCTGCCTAAGTTACCACTGTCCCAAAGCCAGGAGCCAAATTTATTGGTCATGGGACAACCTCAGAATGTTCATGTCTCATATCTATGTCTTAGTGACTATGTGACATTGGTCAAGTTCCTCAACCTCTTTAAGTTCAAAAATATTTCTCTGAGCTATAAAAACAATGGCAATACTAATAATGACAGGGGTATTAATGATACCACTTCATCCATGTCTCATTATTTGGCTTTTTACTTCTTTACTAATGGAGATAAAATTTTGCCAAGCACCAAACAATGTCCAGACATGTCTCCATAATCTTGGCATCCACCTATGGCACCATCATTACTCATTTCAGAGTTGATATCAACATGAATGATCTCATATTTTGACATTAATCCTAGCCAGAGGCTCACAGAAAATATCACCAAGGGCCTCAGACTGTAGCTCATTCCCAAAAATCTCAAGTTGTAGTTCACTAAAGAAAGAAGGTGGGCAGCAGAGATCAAATACACAAGTTGAAGAAAAAGAGGTGGGCTATAGAAACACTAACTAAATGATATCCCTTTTTCAATGTTTCAGACTCCACAACATATGCACATTTTCTGTTCAATGCATTCGATACGGACCACAATGGAGCTGTGAGTTTTGAGGTAAGCCCTAGACTCTTGTTCTACCATTTAACTTAGGACACTGTGAAAGGGATTTTGATCTTTGTAGCAGAAAAGTTAGAGGTTGATATTTGCTCATTTTTGAAAGGTCCAAAAACACCTCCTTCCTCTTTATTATGTTGCAATGTAGTTGTTCTTATCTTTCCAAAGTTGGAAAAATTATAACCTACATTTAGTGTGCTTTCAAATACGTGCTATCTATTCATGCATGGCTCTCCTCAGCAGCATGAGGACAATCCCAGAAGGCAAATGATTTATCTGACATTTACAGGTACTTACTGTGGGCTAGTACTTGGATATATAGATGTAATATACTTAATCTCTGATGCAGAAGCCTAGTAAATGTAGAGTAATGCAAGGTATTTAATACAAAAATGCTGCCTTCACCAGCCCCAGAGTTTGCAACGAAATTAAAAATGTTTAGTAACCTACAGCAAAAGCATGCAGTGCTCTTCATGAAGTATGAGATATGATAACCTTAATAAAAATGTGTTCTCTCTCTCTCTCTCTCTCTCTCTCTCTCTCTCTCTCACACACACACACACACACACACACACACACATACACACACACACACACACAGAAGAGATTAGATAGATAGATAGATAGATAGATAGATAGATAGATAGATAGATAGGCAGACAGAAAGATAGATGATAGATAGACAGAAGGATAAATGATAGATAGATAGATAGATAGATAGATAGATAGATAGATAGATAGATAGATAGATAGCAGGATAGAGGTAACAGTATATTTAAGTGTGGTTGCTAGGAGAATAAATGGAATATGCACTTGGGATAGGTGTCTGTGACTTTTACTTTTGTTAAGAAAACTGGGAGAAGAATGTTTTGTTGACAGATTTGCTTACATTCTGAGTGACTGTATTTTGTTTCTGGGCAAATTAAGTATCTATTATCTTACTTTGTAATTTCAGGGTCAGGGAGATGATAGACAGACAGACAAACAAACAGGCAGACAGACACTAAAGCATGTGCATTATAGCATTTAGGAGATATATTATTTAGGGGATATATTTCCTATTTTGAGGGAGTAGAGGAGGATGAAGCTGGCACACATGTAAAGAAATTTTAATAAGGACCCTGACAAAGTAAGTGAGATGGTGGAATGAGACTAGCCAGGGAAATGAACCAGAGGCAGAAGGGACCGCAACAGCAAAGCCTGTCTGATGGGTTCCCTCAATTATATCTGGAGAAAGTAGTAGAAGCTGATCAAGAGAATACAGGTTTGATAAGGGAAGCATGAGGCAGAGCCTGGGTGGAGAATATCACCCTGGAAATAAAGAGACAACATCTGCAGATCTTCTGGAAGACAGAGTGCAAGTATATGAGCCAGAAGAAAGGGTTGGGAAAGGAAGCAAAGAGCACATCTCAAGCAGGCTGCCAACTAAAGAGGTTGAAGACTGTGTTGTAGGACGTAAGGACCGCTGAAGAAGTTTCAACAGGGCTGTTCACATGTGTGAGCTATGTTCCTGAAACTGAGAGTGCAATTAGAAGCTACTTATTCTAAGAGTCCGGACAGGACCTGATGAAAAACTGAACTTCAGTAAAAGCATTTGAGATGAGGGGAGAGATGAATTCAAAATTACAAAACATGAGCATTACAGAATTGTAACCATCTGACATGTTTAGGAGGGAAAACAGTTTGGGCTTGGACAACACTCTGAATACAAGGCTACATGGAAGCAGGCTGAAGAAAGAAAGGTGGATCATTGTAAACTATCCATCAATGGTACTAGAGTAAAATTTCCAGAATACCTTGTCGTGTGTACTCTGTCCTCGTGAAGACCTCAGGTCATGGGTTTGAAAATTCTGGACCAGAGATATTAAACATCATCTTACAAAACTTTACCAAGAAATATCCTAAGAAGGGAAGGGTGAAAGGTGCTAGTTATTGAGGAAGTGTGAACTAGGAAGTCAAGGCAGGATGAGCAGGGTTATCCTGGATGCAGAAACAGCAGTTACTGGGCCAAAGGGCAAAGTGCAAGGGTGTCCTCGATCTCCTGAAATACTACTTCTAGTGACAGCTTAAGACTTCCTTAGGGCAATGTCTTATCAGTGCTTATTCCATAGTGCTAATACCAGCATAGCCTCAATACACCTATATTGAAAGTGTAAAAGTCAATAGTCTAATTCACCTAATTGGAAAAATCATAGTTAATTACAGAGAATGGCAGAGGCAAAAACTACTAGGGATTTCATTACTAGAAAGAATTTGTGTATCAGAAATATGATATTCTGCTATCGGTGTCTCATAGGACTTTGTGTTCAATTTTGCATGTACATTAACCTATTGTCAACTATGTGGGATAATACATAACAATGCTTTTATGATGTTTATATAAAACACCAGTAATTATAATTAGGGCTCATTTTAATTTGGGAGGTTAGCTGTGACAATTATATGTGATATGCATATTGATATAATGCCTTTACTTTTACTATAAACTATTAATTCCATGCATATCAATAAATACTGAATGAAAATCAAATTTTAAAATAGGAAAGTGTAGTTATATTTCGAAATGAATTAGCTAACTGGAAGGTATCTAGAAGATAGAAATGGCTTGGGAGGGAACACACTTTTAATAGCAACAACCAACAGCAACAGATTATTATGATTTTGAGATAAATGGAAAATGGAAGATTGATAGTATTTGCTTAAAGGTGAATGGCAGAATTAACAAGTCAGAGGGGACATGGTTTTGATTATGACTGGATTCAACCTCCTTCTTGCTGTCAAGTGGCTGTGGAACCCTAGATTTAGTATTTAAACCCTCTAGTCCTTAATATTCATATCACTACAACCCCAGCAGTGATGCAAATTCACAGGTTAGCATACAGATGGAAAAATTATAATAGGAGTGGTGGGTTTGGTTCTGAGCCTGCCACCAAATAAATGCTCAATATTTACTAGATTTTTAGCTATAGCATTTATTACTTTAGGCATTTTCTAATAAAGGTAATTAATTCCGGCATTTATCATCACATTACAATAGATGACACAGTAATCTAGAATAGTTAAACATATTCAGGCAAAGACCTAGATAACTACCCTGTGACATTATGACAGATTTTTATTCTCATTAAAATAACATTTACTGTATTAAAGTGCTTAAATGTTAGTAACAATAGCTACTCAGTGATAAAAACAAACCCATGCTTATTTAGCTTTCATTATTTTAGGCATTTTATTGAGTTAATTACATAACATTAATTTCTGTAACCCTTCTGTGTACTATGGTTATCTCCTTTTAGCAAATGAGAAAGGGGAGTCACAAAGTTAAATATCTTGCCATGGTTATGGAGGTAGAATGTATAACACTCAAGATTCAAACTCAGGCTGCCTGGCCTCAAACAGTGGTTGGCACACATACAGTTCTCCAACCTTATATACATCTTGCACCTGAAATCCCCATAGCTGGTTGAACTTTGTCTTTAAAGAGACTTTAGACTTTAGAATTTTAACAACATAAATGAATAGATAACTGATAGATAATGTATATACATAAAGCGCATGCATAGTATTAATGTCTCCAACAAAGTCTACACTAAACTATAATCAAATGTGTTATATATATCCAACAAAATATGATAAAAGCCACAGCAGCTGTTGGCCATTGCTATCCATGTACTCAGTGAGCACATGCTTGGGTTGTTCCCAGACTCTCCTGTACTGAGGTGGGGTTTAACTGAGGTTTTATAAACAGGGAGTGGTGGGAATAATTTTCCATCCAATCTCCTCTGTGGAGATTGCAACATCAAGTATTTCAGAAGACCTTTCAGCATATAAATGGTACCTAGATTCTTGATGAATCAGAGACCCCTTTGCTTTATTTCATGGTGTATAAGTTATAAATTATCTCTTATTTTGCAATCACTGGTAAAGCTTTTAGTATCTTTTGATTAAGGTAATAGATGGTGATAATATGTAGATAGGTAGCTAGATGGTAGATAAACAGAGGATATATAGGAGACAGATGATGACTGATAGATAAATAAACTGATAGATCATAGGTAAGAGATAGATAGATGATAGATATGTTGGTAGATAGATGATAGATAGATAGATAGATAGATAGATAGATAGATAGATAGATAGATAGATAGATAGATAAACAAGCATGTTAGTTTAGTTCAAGCTTTGGCACTAGGACTCCCCAAAATAAATTTATAGCACTAACTTTCAGCATTTCTCCCACCTTCCCAATATGTATTCTTCAGTTCATAATTTTTAAATTAATCAAACAGAAAATGAAAGTTTTGTGCACTTCACTATATGTTAGAGACAAAAACCACGATGTATGAAAGGCTGACTTGTTCAGTCATTTGGATAATTGAGAGGGAATCAGAAGTGAATGTTATTCATCTGGAGCACAGCCTCTAAAACCTGGGGTCTTAATGGGCAGCCAGCAAACTGTCCTGTAAAGTACCAAATATTTTTGATTTTGCAAATCAGGCAGCCCATTATAGTCCATTCTACCAAACACAATCACTACCAGGTAACTCACATTGCTGAGAATTTCCCAGATTGCTCATGTTATTGAAGCTGAGTTGAAATGTTCTTTCTGTCAGAATAATTCTAAAACACATACAATTGCTATTACAGGTAATTGATGAGTTAGAGCTGGAAGGAAATGCTATTTGTAGATAACTCAATTCCCATGGAAAATGATATGAGCGGCACCCCCTGGAGGTAGTCAGTCAAGGCATTACCCCAAACTAATAGCTCTGTTATTCACAGTGTTGACTAAAAATATTTTCATACAAATATCAGTTAAGTTTATGGAAAAACTTTTTAGATGTGCCATTTTGCTAAATGGCATAGCTATTTTCTTTGAAATGTCAGGAGGGAGTTATTTTAGGCAATGTTTTTTATTGCTATAGAATCCCATTTTTATCAAATGTATTAATCTTTCTGTTTCATTCACACACACACACACACACACACACACACACACA